TGGTTCAGATACGTTGATGACACCTTTGTGATTTGGGGTCACGGAGCAGAAAAACTAAACGATTTCCTGGCTTATATAAATACACTACATCCAAATATTCAATTTACGATGGAAACAGAAAAAGCTCAACAACTAGCGTTCCTGGATGTATTAGTAAATCGAAAGGAAGGTCACTTAGGACATAAAGTGTATCGAAAACCTACACACACAGACAGATACCTAAACAGGAACTCAAATCATCATCCTAGCCAAAAACAAGGTATCATCAAAACTTTGGCAGAGAGGGCGAAGAGAATTTGTGAACCACAACATCTCCAAAGTGAACTTCTTTATATTGAAAAAGCGCTCACCTCTAATGGGTACAGCAGAAGAGAAATACACAAGGCGATGAACAACGTATCTAGAAGAAGGGACGAAGAAACAGAATGTAAAGGGAAAGCGTTCTTGCCCTATATATCGGGGGTAACGGACAGAATTGGGCGAATACTCAAGAAAGCCAACATAAAGACCATTTTAAGACCTACAAAGTAGATCAAGGATTGTTTAAGATCGGTAAAAGACAAACGCGACCCATTAGCAACGGCCGGAGTATACCGAATACCATGCACATGTGGAATGGTATATGTGGGAACCACAAAAAGACACACCAACACCAGGATAAATGAACATAAAAGCCATTGTCGTTTAGGACATATCGACAAATCTGCCGTTGCCGAACACGCTTTGGGAAGCGGAGAACATCGAATACTATTTGAAGAAACACAGATGCTGGACAAAACTTCACAGTACTACCCACGGTTATATCGGGAAGCGGTGGAAATATACAAGCACCCAAACAATTTCAATAGGATAGAAGAAGGACTAAAAATCAACAAAACATGGATACCAGTATTAAAATCCACAAACGCCCTTCCCGCCAAACACGGAGATAGAAAAGCTACTATAAACAACGACACGCCCCCTCAAGCCGAAACCAGTGGAGGGGAGGCGAGTGGGAATTATAAATATTGCGTCCGTAGTACAACGCGTCGTCAGTTTCTGCTTACAAGCGAAGCATCAACATCTCCAGAAGATGCCAACCCCTAGTGTTGGCGAAACGTCGAGAACTAATCTCAACAGAAGACAACGGCCCAACAGCCCGAATAAACAGTTTAATAAGTTAGACGATGGCCGTGAAAGCCTAACGCAATTTATCGAAATTATTTCGTTGTGTTTTTCGAATGTTTCATCAATATCTGGGGTTATAGCTAACCTCTTTCTTTTTAAAGTAACAGTATAGCGGTTTGAATTTGTGTCAGTTGTTGCTCAACTTGAAAAACTTCTTTCGTTTTTTTGGTGAAAAAAAAAGAAGCCTCAGCGGATGATAAATTTTCATAGACCATAGTTTTTTTATACTATTTGTCTACTAAATTCTGAACAATTTTTTTATCAGTGGCGCAATGCTTTTCTTTACAATAAATGCATATTGGTTCATTTTTTTGGCAACTTTCTACTTTATGATCTTCTCGACAATTTTGACAACGTTCTTTTGATCTACACTGTGTACTAATATGGCCGTATCTTAGACATTGAAGACACTGCATTACTCTTGGCACGTATTTTTCGACTTCATACACCATTTTTTCTATAATTACCCTAGTGGGTAAAAGTTGACCTCTAAATGTAACTATAATAATTGTAGTTGTTGGAACAATTTCATTTTTGTCATTTTTACGTGAAATTCTTTTTACATGACTTACTTCAAAATTATATCGGTATCGGTTTAATAATTTCGTTTAATTCCTGTTCCGATAATTCTAAATATATTTGCCTTATGACTCCCTTTACGTGAGTAAAAAATATTGGAATGTATGTATCGTATTGTTTATCCTTTAATGATTGTGCTGTTAATAATTTATTTGCGCTTGCCTAGAAGTTAATTCAACCTTTATTTTATTAGATCCTATACTGATATGTTAGCTATATCATGTTTAATTTCTGGTATCGCAGTAATTATTAGTCTAGCCGTAGCTATTTTATGTAAATTGTCTATTTTACCTGTTTTACTTTGAATATAAACAAAAAATGGCCCATTTCCTTTTGAAGAATATTGATTTATTGTGTTTGTTGTGTATTGGTTGAATGACCGTGTTTACGTTTAAATTTTGATTTTTTTGATATTTTTAAATCCTCTAAATTCCTCCACTGGAGAAGGAGGAAGATCCGGACGGGACACATCCATATCACCTTCCAACTCATCTTTTTCGAGTGGTTTTCTACCCCCGCTAGTAACACTCATGATCTTTAAACCACGTAAATTTTACTTTTTTTTTAAATCGATATGTGCAATTTTTATATGAATAAAACTCTAGAATAGATTTATATATATATATATATATATATATATATATATATATATATATATATATATATATATATATAAATCAAGTGGTGATTCTTGAGGATTCAGTCAGTCTATTTGGCCCTCAAGACAAAGAAAACTCTTTGACTTACTGTCAAGCTTTCGAATTTAATTTAATTCTTTTTTAAGACATCTATAACAAAGAAATATAAAAATTAACTAGTTAAAATTGTTAATTGTTTTACTTACTAGTCGTGAGATTACAGTTAATATTGTACTTTATAAAACAAACCATTATAAATATATTAAAATTTTGTATTAAAAATAACTATATTGTCACTATATATGTCATTGTCATGTTGGTTTGATTAATGGACATATATGAATGAATATACAGTTACTTTACGTGTAAATAAGACTATTAAGTAAGACAAATTACAATTTTAACTAGTTAATTTTTATATTTCTTTGTTATAGATGGCTTGAAAAAGAATTAAATTAAATTCGAAAGCTTGACAGTAAGTCAAAGAGTTTTCTTTGTCTTGTGGGCCAAATAGACTGACTGCATCCTTAAGAATCACCACTTGTATTTAAATCAACAGTCAAGAATACCACCATCTTATAAGTTCAGCTGTAAAGATGCTACACTAGATAATTTGTAATTATTGTATTGGTGGGTATTTTGCACCTACATAGTACATCCTACTCCTGTTTGATTTTTAGAACCGTTTGTGTAAATTACTGTGTAATCCACAAAGTCACTCAGTATAGATTTTACTAAAGTATTTTTTAATTGATTTGATTCTGTATACTTAAGAATTATGATTTTTGGTTTTTTTTATCAAATTTTTGTACGGAAATTTATAAATTGGTAGTAATTTATTTTTGTATAATTTTGTATAACTCATGGTTTCAATAAATGCATCTATAAGTGGGGTGAATTTTTTATTTTTCAATATGTATTAGTTAAGTTTTTAATGTTTAATAATGCCAGATTTGTTAAAAGGTCTGACTCAGTGTTTATCATCTTTATACAGTATTTTTGTGCTAATAGTTGTCTATGTAATTCTAATGGGATTTCATTACACTTTGCTAGCGTAGCCTTTGTTGGAGTTGATACCATTGTAGTTAAACATATTCTTAAGTATCTGTATTGTACACGATCTAATATTTTTAAATTAGTATTGCTGGTTCATACATATTTCCAACTAATACATTGCTTATTTTAATTCATGAAAACAATGTTACAATTAATTTCTATAACTATTAATGTAAACAATTTTGTTTACTTTTTTTACCTTGAATTATTGTTTTGGCAATATTGTTTATGTGTAGATTTAATTTTTGCAATATCTATCACTTTGTAATTTAAAATTATTTCATTAATAAACAGCTCAGCTTATATTATAAAATACATAAATAAATAAAATAAAGGGTACAATTTATTAAAGTTTTGTTAATTATTATTCCTTTATTAAAATATTGAAAATTTAATTTTCTCAAAACATACATAAAACCATTGTTTAAAAAGGTTTTCTTTTTTAAACAATGATAAAACTTAACTAAAAAATCTAAGTCTTATTTAATCTGGACTAAATCTCTCTTTAGTCATGACTAAAAATTAAACCTCCACATGAGTATTCTAAGACGATAGCAATCGAGTCTCTTTCAAATAAATATTTAATCCTTTTCTAACAAATCATAAAACCAAATTAAATATCTGGTAAACTAATAAAAATTAAAAAAAAAGGCAGCATTTACCTAGTTCATTTAAATAGATTACTGACCGATTTAGATTTAGCAACTTTCAAAGTATAAAAGCAAATTGAAATATTCGCTCAAAGTAGTCAAGTTATCTTTCACAAGACGCATACAACGATAATAACAATGAGCATTTTATTTAAGTATTATATTTTCTTCACAATCTGGCATCCGTGTACAGGTTTGCATTAGTTATCAGACAACTAAAAATATACTCGAGTAGAATCCTGCAGAGAATTAAGTTTCTGTTAATAGTTTTTACGACTAGAGGCCGCCACATGACGGCAGATTAAAAGTCAAACATTTGTTCCATAAGGATTGTCTAACTAGTCCTATTTAAACATATAAGTATTGGTATAAGTATCCCAATATGCTCTAAGTAAATTATTTCAAAATATTGTAAACTGTTTTTCCTATATCAAAATATCATTGTTGAAAATTTAAAAAATGGGGGGGGGGAAGTGTAGGCCGCGATTTTTAGCATTGGAACATAAACTAAAAAAAATTATTTGACTGTAGTAATCTTTAATCGATTACTCAAAAACAATATGGTCTTAAGAAAAAAATATTTAATATGATTATCGTTTAATACTCACTAAAAAAAAAGAAAGTCATACTATCACCGGCACGAAAAAGTGAGCTCTTTCAATTTTTAAATACTACCTTAAAATTGTCTGTACCTTATTATAATAATAAAAGCTTAAAGAGAATTAAAGTTTTTAAAATTAAAAGTTTTATTTTAAAAATGCAAGTGCTCCGTTTTTCGTGCCGGTGAATGATAATACACAAAAGACAGTTGGTGAAGGCTATTAATATGAGTCAAATGTCAAAGATTTTGATGATCTTGATACCATTGATGCCATGAAAAATGATAAAGATAAAAATTAACAAAACTTACTTGTGGAACTTCTTCATTATCCGACTGTCTTTCTACAATTTCAGAATTATGTTTTTTATCAAATTCTAAACTAGCAGCTAAAATCATAATCACCCGTTTTAGAGCCATATTTGGTGTTTTATTAAAAAAATAGTAATATAACTGTGTTGTGTCTAATAGTACTTGATCTCCAGTATATTTGATACTTCTATACCACCAAGTACCAACCTAAAACAAAAAATATAATAAAATCATGTATAATCGATTAGCCTGTAGAGTTGTTAACCTTTTTGTGTCCTACCTGAGAGGGAAATGCAGGTTTAAAGTTGCCTTAACGATATATAATTAAGACACTTGATAATAATAATAATAATAATAATAATAATAACCTGTGGGAGTTTTTATCAGTTCTTCTATCAGGCGCGGCCCCCTGCGAATGGGGGATGCTTTCTGGGTATCCGTAGCGCAGATACCCAGAGGGTAACAGGAATACCTGTCGTGGAACAAAAACTGACACCTGGCAGTAGGTATAAAATGCAAACCCATGATAATGGAGTATAGTAATTTATGTTTAGGGTCGCTGCCTGGGGATCGCCAGGGCACGTCTGGAGCCGGCGCTGGACGTGACAGCATGCGGGACGTCGGTGGCAGGGTGTTGAGGAGGCGGGCCCCTGTCATACAATCAGCTACAGCCCAACAACAACAGCAAGAACAACCACAAGCGAGCCAAACAACAACAAGAGCTCCACTCGCTGAAGGTGCTGCGCTGGAACATCAGCCGGCGCTCACCCAAGCGGGACGACCGAGGCAGCGCATGAAATGGACTGCGTCCATAAATGAGAATATTTTGCGCTTCTATTACCAGGTGACAAACCTCGGTCAAGAGACGATCGGGTATCGACAAAATCTCTATGCCGAATTTTGCAGGGAGTACCCAGAAATTCAAGTAACTGAACAACGAGTTGCTGATCAATACCGGGTAATTATAAGAAATAATCTTATCCCAGAGGCTAGACGCAATACCATCAGAAGCGAAGTCGAACGGGAGATTAATCACCAAGAGGTAAATGTAGATCAAGTCCCTAATGAAAGACATGAGCAGATCCCTGAGCTTACCATACAAGAAACTCAACCTGATATAATACACTACAGGACAACAACGAGTTACGTGATACTCTGGTAAGCGAAATGGCACGAGCTGTACAAGAGTTTAATGGAACAAATCCACTTAGCAGACCACCGCTACCAAAAATAAACTCTTCTAAAAAACTAGGTGCTCTGTTACAAATTATAAATACTGAAGTCCTACCCAATTACGTCGTAGAAGCCCATACGCTGGAATATTTGCATATGCTTATTTACTGTGCAGCAACAGCAACAGCTAATGTAATGGGAATTAAGATCAGAACACGACGGGGTACTAATGCCGGAAGGACTGATAACAGAGTAGCACCCTGGGAGAAACGGCTCCTAAACAAGATTGAATTATTGCGTAGGGAAATTGGTCAAATGACAGAATATATACGAGGAACAACAAGTAGAAAAGTCGTTAAAAGAGCTGATCAAATAATGCTAAGCACTGCAAGACACTCGCAATATGATCCAGTAAACATCACAGCCCATCAGTGCCTGGATACATTAAAACAAAAACTCTCCGTTTACTCAGGACGACTAAGGAGGTACAAGGTTAGCAACAGCCGGAAATGTGACAATGCGCTTTTTGAGCATGCCGAGAAGGCGTTCTATCGGAAACTTAATTCCACTGTCGAAAGTGCCAATAAATCATACCCAAGCCAAGAAGACATTCAGGAGTTTTGGGGAAATCAACTTTTCACACCAGCTGCTCTTAACACCAATGCTGGATGGATAGAAGATACGACGCACAGCTGTCAACACTACCGCACAACTGGTTATGAACCCTTCACCACAGAAGAAATCTCTAATATCATCAAAGAGCTTCATAACTGGAAATCTCCTGGACCAGATGGAGTTCAAAACTTCTGGCTTAAGAAGTTCTGGAGTGCTCATGAGTGCCTGTCAACATTAATTAATCGTGTTATTTCTAATCCGCAGGAAATACCATCATTCCTAACTCAGGGAACAACTTATTTAATACCTAAGGATCAAAATAACACCCAAGATCCAGCCAAATACCGCCCAATTACGTGTCTTCCAACTCTGTATAAATTGGTCACATCCTGTGTAGCCCAGCGTATCTACCAACACTGCGCTCTAAACAATATCATAGAACCTCAACAGAAAGGATGCGCTAAGGGCTCCATGGGTTGCAAAGAACAACTTATTATCGACTCAGTCATTTCTAACCAGGCATACACCAAAAAAAGGAACCTCTTCACTGCCTTTATTGACTATAAGAAAGCCTTTGACTCAGTGCCGCATGAATGGCTTGTAGATATATTAAGAATATATAAAGTCGATGATAATATAGTGACCTTCTTAAGACATATAATGACAGATTGGAAGACTAAAATTCACCTTCAAATACCTGGTGAAAACAATATCGAAACGGAAAATATCGCAATTAACCGCGGCCTATTCCAAGGAGACTCGCTAAGTCCCTTGTGGTTCTGTCTAGCGATGAACCCACTATCCCAGCTATTGAACTCCACTGACTCAGGTTTTAGCATTAAAAACAACAACACTGTAGTGGCGAAGCTTAATCATCTGTTGTATATGGATGATTTGAAACTAATGGCTTCCACTCGAACTCACTTAGATCAAATGCTAAAAACTGTAGAAACTTTTTCAAATGATATCAGTATGCACTTTGGGTTAGACAAATGTCGTGTACTAAATATAGTCAAGGGAAAGGTTCAGCCCGGGGGATTCGATATGCAAAATGGCCAAAACATCGAGGCTATGGGCGAAAATGACATGTATAAATATCTAGGAGTAAAGCAAGCGCGGAAAATTGACCATAAACAAATGAAAATCGAATTAACATCAGAGTTCATACGGAGGGTAAAACAGCTACTCCGCTCACATCTTAATAGTAAAAATTTGTTTAAGGCATTAAACACCTATGCATTTTCCGCGCTTAGCTACTCATTTGGCATTATTAAGTGGACTAAAACGGATATAGAAAGTCTTCAGAGAAAAGTACGAACACACCTCACAAAGGCACAAAAACACCATCCTCGAAGTGCAGTAGAAAGAACGACATTACCACGGTATTTAGGAGGACGAGGACTTATTGATATAAGCGAACAATTAGATAAACAGATTAATAATTTAAGAACTTATTTTCAGGTGCAGGCGGAGACATCTACTCTTCATCGCGCGATTTGCGCAGTAGATGACACAACACCGATCAAACTGAGGGAACAAGAAATGCGCATAGACCATCTTACTAAGAACGAAAAAATGCGCATCTGGATGGGTAAACCTCTACCCGGGCGACATCCGAATGAGGTCAGTCAAGACTATGTCGACAATATAGCGTCGAACTATTGGCTGACATCAGGAAAGATGTTCCCTGAAACAGAAGGTTCATTACTCGCCATTCAGGATCAGGTTATACCAACCAAAAATTACTTGAAATATATTGTCAAAGACCCTCAGGTCCAAAACGACAAATGCCGATATGGATGTCAAGCCCAAGAAACGATCCAACATCTTACCGGAGGCTGCCAGGCATTTGCTGCAACTGAATATAAGGAACGGCATGACTCAGTAGGGAAGATCCTCCATCAAGAGATAGCTATTAAACTGGGACTTCTACAAACAAACCATCTCCCATATTATCAATACATTCCAGAGAGTATGCTTGAGAATGACCACTACAAGCTATACTGGGATCGCACTGTGCTCACAGACCAAACTGTAGCACATAATAGACCAGATCTCGTGCTAGTTAATAAACTAACAAGACAAACAACTCTAATCGATGTGGCGATACCTAACAACAATAATCTGCGTGTTAAGTACAACGAAAAGATTGCCAAGTACAGAGATCTGGAAATACAAATAAGGAGACAATGGAGAATGGAAGGTATCCAGACGATACCTATTATTCTTTCTACCACTGGAGTCATTCCGAAGAACCTCCTAGAAAACATAAAAAAGCTGGGTCTAAATGAACATCTATATAAGATCATGCAGAAATCTGTGCTACTTTCGACGTCCAGATGCGTGCGAAAATTTTTGGGAGATACACCGACGTACCAAGTCACCTAGGACTCGATAACATGGAAAGAGTCCCACCAGAGCTCAATCCTTTTGATACCGTAGGTATCTGGGATGAGTGAATTTTCCCCTTAGAGGGAGTGTGAGCCGTATGGCTAAATCTGGAATAATAATAATAACCTGTGGGAGTTTTTTTATCAGTTCTTCTATCAGGCGCGGCCCCTGCGAATGGGGGATGCTCTCTGGGTATTCTTAGAACCGATACCCAGAGGGTAACAGGAATACCTGTCGTGGAACAAAAACTGACACCTGGCAGTAGGTATAAAATGCACACCCATGAAAATGGAGACTAATAATTATTTATGTTTAGGGTCGCTGCCTGGGGATCGCCAGGGCACGTCTGGAGCCGGCGCTGGACGTGACAGCATGCGGGACGTCGGTGGCAGGGTGTTGAGGAGGCGGGCCCCTGTGATACAATCAGCTACAGCCCAACAACAACAACAGCCACAAGTGAGCCAAACAACAGCAAGAGCTCCACTCGCTGAAGGTGCTGCGCTGGAACATCAGCCGGCGCTCACACAAGCGGGACGACCGAGGCAGCGCATGAAATGGACTATGTCTATAAATGAAAACATTTTGCGCTTCTATTACAAGGTGACGAACCTCGGTCGAGAAACGATCGGCTATAGACAACAACTGTATGCCGAATTTTGCAGGGAGTATCCAGAGATTGAAGTATCTGAACAGCGAATAGCAGATCAATACCGGGTAATTATAAGAAATAATCTTATCCCAGAGGCTAGACGCGCTACCATCAGAAGCGAAGTCGAACGGGAGATTCATAACCAAGAGCTAGTTGTGGATCAAGACCATAATGAAGTCCCAAGTGAGCAGATTCCTAAGCCCCTTATACAAGACACTCAACCTGTTAACACCCAGCAGGACAACAACGAGTTGCACAATAGCCTGGTAAAAGAAATGGCACGTGCCATACAAGAGTTTAATGGTACAAACCCACTTAGCAGACCACCGCTACCAAAAATAAACTCTTGTAAGAAACTAGGTGCGCTGTTACAAATTAT